AACTGAAAATTTAACCCCACCACCCAACCCACCGTCTTAAAACCCAAAAATTTTTCAATTTTGCCCTTGTTTTCCTGCCCAAAAAAAAAACCGGAAACCCCCCCCCCCCCCAGTGAAATCTAAGATCTTGATTTTGATAAACCTGTAACTCGAAAAGAAAAAATCGAAAACAAAGAAACAATTATCATTCCGAGATATTGCTCCAGATATTTGTGATAAACTTTCGGATAGTTTCGATGGGGTCCTAATATACTACAGTTCGGCCAAATTATATTTTGAATAAAAGACGTAGTAGAAATTTTTCAGGGCTCTCAGCACACTGATCCTAAACGTTGCAGAAAACATCGTGGAGATTTATTATTATTTCATTTTGTAGAGAACTTGTCCTACAAGGCTAACTATTAGAAAAAATTTTACAGTGCTAAACGAAACAAAACTTTCTGAAAGTTAAAAAGTTAGACTTTTACTAACACGTTGTTGCAAACTCTAAAACACTCTCATCTCCTCAACGAAATATGCAGAGCATGTTGGCAAGTTTTCACGAGAAGTGCTTGTTTCCCCACTACAAGTGGTATCTATAGTTCGTATAATGATGAAAGGTCAAATAATCAGACAGCAATCGATATTAGAAATGATCAAGAACACGAAGGGAAGAAGTAGATGAATGTATTGAATGAATGATGACAATAGGCTTCATGGATACAAATGGTATTTCTACGAAACTAATTAAAGTGAAAAAAGTGATTCGAATCAGGCAGGTGCTGAACATAAATTCAAGTAATTATACCAAATAAAAAGCACCCATGCCTGATCAATTGAACAAATAATAGATTTCAGTTTACTGCAGTCCAGGTTATCCATATCATTATCAATGTTTCTTTGCAACATATATATACTAGTAGGTTAATAATCAAATAAATCTATAGAAAAGACAGGTGATATAAGCTTTATTCTGTCAGAATACATATGGAAAAATATTCCATTATAGTATTCTAAACTAAAACTATCGAAAAACACAAAATCAATTTTGTGAAAGACATGTTGTTTCTACTGAAAAGAATAACGGGTGATGCAAAAGTTTTTTCCTTTTTTGTTTCCACTATTGCTTTCTCCCAAAACATCCGAAAGGGTTAATTGTTTCTCCGTTAGAAAGACCGAAATCTGAACTTCAAAAAAACATATGAAACAAAACTTTTGCGATTGAATTTGAATGAGAAAAAATTTAAATACCAAATGCCGCCAAAAAGCTCTTGTAATTTTCGCACTCTTGGAACACAACAACGTTTTCCTTTCCTCATAACAGAATACATTTGAAATCATGTATTTATAGAAACCAGAAGTGTTTTTGTCGCTCTTTCGAATAGGGTACGGTAAATTATCTTTCAATCTACTTTTCAAGCAGAAATTCGCAAATTTCTCATTAGTTTCAAAAAATTAGTTAATTAGATCTAATTAATAGTTTTATATAGAGAAAGAGCTTCGTTCTTTTCGTAAAACAAACTTTCTGAATCAGTATTCAATTTTCTACAAATTCGTATTCGTTTAAATCATTACTGACATATTCTGAGCCATTAGTAAATAAATTTTCTCGATGCACCATCTTTCTCATGCAAAATGAAGCTTTCTACCAAAACTGGGTTTCACAATACGCCGTTTTTTGTATTAAGATATCACTGAAAAACTCAAATTCAATCACAAAAGTTTTGTTTCATATGTTGTTTTGAAGTTCAGATTTCGGTCTTTCCAACGGAGAAACAATTAACCCTTCCGGATGTTTTGGGAGAAAGCAATAGTGGAAACAAAAAAGGAAAAAAGTTTTGCATCACCCGTTAGTGTAAAAAATGCAAACGGATCCTCGATAATTAGTGTAATTTTAGTTCGCGAAGTTTGTGCGATAAGAAATAAGTTTAGGGTGCGCACGCTTCTCCTTGAATATATAATAGATCAACATTTGATGAAAATATAAAATTTGTTCGTTTTTGATTTGATTCTGTAAACAGAAAAATGTCTACTCGTATAAAGATGTCGGTTTAAAAAACGAATACACGAAGTGTATATATGCTGATGTATGTATTCACAATACAATCAAATGAACCGAAATTGTACAAAGCAGAATAAATTAGAATTGAAATTTCCACGTGCTCCCTAATTAATGTAAAGAATTATTAAATAAAAGATGTAGTCGAATAAGGACAATTTAATAAAAAATATTACCAGAAGAACATTCAAAAATTTACAGATACTATAAATAAAGATGCTGTTGATTGCTTACTAGATTATTAAGATGAAATTCTTCTATATTACCCCAATTTTTAGTCCTTTATGTTCGCTTTTTCTAAGTTTTTACGTTTATAAAGTAAAAACACCTGCTACTGTAGTTTCTTGTGTTATATTGAGAAAAATATTGTATTCTAAAAGGCCTAAATAGTATGGCATGACAGTTGAATGAACTATAAAATAGATGTTCTGGAATATATTTTGAAACGCTCCCTTCGTAAAACGTATGGGTTTCATTTTTCAATTTTAGTGGTTTCACTAGTCTTATGTCGAAGGAGACTTCAGTTTTACTTAAAAAATACGCGTATTTTCGGAAAATCAAGAGAAAGCATTTTTCCATCGAGCACCAAATGGCAAAAGAAGTGACTCAGTTGATATCGAATTCTACGTGTTAAACGGAGGAGGAAGCCTTTTTAAACGATTTTCAAATTTGTTTGGCGGAGTCATGCAGATTTTTTAGATGAGGATACATTGTGTAGTACTTTTATTAATAGGAAACTTTTATTCAATATTGGATATGTATGAACAAACATTAGATGAATATATTTCCTTAAAAAGTTTCTAAAGATAAGATATTTTGTCTAAATGAAATTTATTCAATAATAGTTATTGTTTGGGGTTGTTTTATTCAAATATTCTTCAAGCAATATATCGTGTATGTCCAGTTATCTTAATTTTACGAAGACATGTATTAGCTTTTTCTCAGATCATTTTTTTTCAACATGAACTTATTTTCCTAAAGATTCTAGTAGCTTTCGAAATGATATGAGACAAACTTTAAAGAAACTGTAAGTTATAAACATTAAAAGAAACTAGTTTATTGTATTGGTTCTTTTTACTTTTTTGTTGTCAAATAAATGTCTAACTCTAAGACTAGATCAGCCAATACACCAGCTTTAAAAGTATGTAGGGCTTTTCAAAAATTTTGTTTCATTGCCGAGAAAATTCAAATTTTGTTACATTAAATTATTAATAGAAATGTAAGGTTGGCTCCCAAACAACCATGTTTGACGTCTGCATGGTGTAGACCAGATGAGATTGAAGTTAGTATATATGTTTCATGGTCACTGCAGTTTGATAGAGCTTCGGAGCGTCTATGCCGGTATGCGGGACCAAACGTAATTTGCACCCCTTGGAACTCATACACGAAAAAGAGCAGTCCCTACCCTAGTCAACTCTTCCCCTCAAAGTTCCCAGGGACTCCCCGAAAAATGCATAATACCCGATGACTCCCTAAAAATGTGTACGCACCGGGTAGTCTCTAGGGAGTCCCCAATATGTGCAATCCCTGGAGAGTGAGTCCCTGCCAATTCTCCATTCACCGTTTGTTTTGCAGATAGATAATGTATGGATATAATATAGTTCTATGATAAATTTTACGAATTTTCTTCTGTTAAGTCAACCTTAATGTGTCAACCTTCGATGTCTGATATGTGCTACACTGGTACCAGCGATGGTATCTGGCACTTAATTACTAATTAGCTATATGAAATTAAAAATGATGGACCAACAGATCTACGCATCTTCTAAAAGAAAAAAATGCGTCCTGGAGGACACTTTTAGCGTTCTTTTAGAACCCGTTCTGAAGGCACTTTTTGCGTTTTTTTGCAAAAAAACGCGATCGGCGTAGAATGCGTTCTCTAAGAAACGGGTCTTATTGATTAGGAATGCGTTTAATAAGAACATGTTCGCCTTGAAAAGCAACGTTTCCTTTTTACTAGGAACGCGTTACACAAAAAAAGGAAAATGCATGTTTATCCTAAAAATATTTCTGACTCATTTCTTGATATTTTTTGATAATTGATTTTTCTTATATTATAAGATCTGCGAAGATATTTCATGTTCAAAATGCATTTTTAAGAACATAAATGAAAGGAAAAGGAAAGAGAAGGAATATTATCTCAACTGTTCCGCTGTAGCTTGTTGAAATGGATCAAAATCTCAGTGATTTGAACATCATCGTAGTAGTTCAATTTTGCAATTGGAGTTCCGACCGAAAAGAAAAATCTTTACACGATCTTATAGTCGGTCATTTCTTGCAATGACACATTATTTATCCTTTGTTATTAAGCATCAAAGCAACTGCTAAGATTTGTTTCGCACCACATCAACGCCAAGTCACACTCTAGTTAACGACCCCCCCAAATAAAGAACGTTTTGTTCTTTTTTTGATCGATGGAATGTGATGTTTTGGACAACTGGAAATTTCTGGAAGAGTAACAAATAACACGAAAAATATGGACATACAATCGGATTTGAAATACGCGAGACTCTTTTATTTATTATTCGTATCATTCCACTTGAGATACACGTCATATGTGTTGATTTATGCAATATAAAAGTTATTTAATGCTTTATTATTTATTCAGGTAGATTACGAAGTTATGTCGCGTCAATTCAAATATGAATGGCTGAAATCCACTCAAAATCTTTTGAGCATCGCGTTCTATAATAACGGACGTCGTAATGGGATGGATCGAGTTGGTGTTCAAAAAAATAAAAAAGATTATTTCAAAAAGCGCTGAAAGACGAAAAAAAGAAAACTATTGCTTCAAACGTGAGAAGAACCAGAATATGTTCGCTGTTCTGTGAATGACATTCATTTAGAAAGGGACTAGATCATCAACGGTTTCATGATCGAGTCTCACAAGTTCATCGTCGGTTTGCTGAATGAGACCATGCTTAGGCAAAATATTGCTGGGAATATCAAAATCTGTTACCATACCTTGATGTAACACAACAATCCGATCACTTTTGGCCACCGTGTTTAGGCGATGAGCAATCGTCAAAATTGTTCTATCTCGAAACTTATCAGCAATAACGGTTTGAATTAATGAATCTGTTGTTCGATCCACATTAGCTGTTGCCTCATCAATCATTAATATTTTACTTTGCTTCAAAATGGCTCGTGCCACACAAATCAATTGACATTGACCTGCACTAAAATTACTACCCGATTCGGCTACGAGTAAATGAAGACCAGCTGGGTGATCGAAAACTAAGTGCTTAAGCTGTACCGATTCGAGTGCTAAAAGACATTGTTCGTCTGTAAACTGTTCGAACGGATCCAAATTGTAGCGAAGTGTACCGGCAAACAAGATAGGCTGTTGTGGAATGACACTTAGTCGTGAACGAAGATGATTAAGTGAAATAGAACCAATGTCAAAGCCATCAATGACAATTTGTCCGTCAACAGATCTTCGTTCGACAAGCCGAAATATAGCTTGAAATAAAGAAGACTTTCCGGCACCTGAATGTGTAAAAATAATGTGTCAGTTAGGGTGATTGTTCAATAATATGAAGCGTATACCTGTTCGACCAATGATTCCTATTTTTTCTCTTGACTCAATGCGTAGATCAATATTGCTGAGAACAGGTTCCAGTTCTGGTCGATAACGCATTGAATATTTGTTGAACTGAATCGTTCCCCGACTTGGCCAGTCATCAGGTGGTTGTATGAATAGATCGTTGTTATTTTCATCCTCTTCGGGTACTAATTGGCCGTATTCATAAATGCGCTCAGCACTTGTCATATAATTTTCGGCTTCGGCCGACTGTCTTACAGCCCATTGAAAGAGCATTGTTAAATTTATACAATACATTAAGCTAAGTGCCGCCGAGGATGGATCAATACGAGCACGCAATGCTATTGTCAGAACAGCCGTGAGCAATGAGAGTAGTGATGTCATGAGATCGAGTCTTACACCGAACCAGCGTACAGCAGCAATAAGTATGAAAAAGGCACGTGTATTAGTATCTACTCGATCGATGAACAATTGTACAAAGTCCTCTTGAACACTGAATGCACGAATTGTAGCAAGACCTCCATTTAATGACGATGAGAAGAGGGCGTAAACAGGACTACGTGTTACACTCTCTAATCGCTTTATTTGACGACTTGAACGCAGATAGAAACGACGTAACCACCAAAAGGCAGGCAATAGAGGGACAAGTATAAGTAACGCCCACGGATTGACAATGCCAATCACGACCAACGATCCCAATGTCATTAGTAAGCATTGCAAAGCATCAAACAGTGTCATTGGTAATAATTCATCGATCACTTGTTGATCCTTACTTGCTCTATTCAAAATACGCCCACTCGGATTACTTTCGAAGAAGCGAAGCGATGTATACAATATACCAGTGAGCATTTTGTTGTGCAAACTGTTTGAACCGCGTAATATGAGATAAAAGTAATACTGAGCACGCAGTAATGCGACAACAAGTGTGCCCAATGTCAAGCCCAAATAGACGTATATCTGTAAGAATGATCTTTGTTCATCATATGATTTAGCCGACCATAAACTGAACCATCGATTAGAGACGTCGAACATTGCTTCCCCGAGGAGCATTATGACAATGAGTAGGCAGAAGCCAAAGTTACCAAAGGAGGTCGAGGTGAATAGTCTATACCAAATTGACCAGATCACAGCACCAACTGCTGCCGTTTCATTTACTATAATTGATTTATTGTCGACAGTGGTCTTGACTAAATCGAGTAGTAATGGTGGTGTTGTCTCTCTTTCCTCTTCACCATCACTTTTTGTTGACTGCATATCCATGCCTTGCTCGAAATGTCCTTCTGTCTCAATATGACTGTTTTTCAGGAATATTTTTTGATATGCAGATTCGGTTAAAAAGTGTGTTTGATGAGTGACCAAGAGACGCGTTTTTTGTTTTAACAACCCATTCGGTCCAATACACTGATCATAAATTCGTCGAGCCACTGATTGATCTACAGCGGCAAGTGGATCGTCGAGCAAATAGATATCTGCATCAATATAGAGTGCACGGGCCAGCGCAATCCGTGCTTTTTGTCCACCACTGACATTAACACCTTTCTCACCGATCATCGTCAAATCGCCGACTTCTCCGAATGCCATCAGATCAACGTCGAGACAGCATGCTTGTAGTACATTTGTATAGCGTTGTTCATCAAGTGGTTTGCCAAGGAGAATATTGGCCCGAATCGTGTCTGCAAAGATCCATGGCGATTGGGCAGCGTACGAGAAGGAACCGTACACTTTCATATCACCACTCATCAGAGTCATTTCGCCAAGAATAGCGGATAATAACGACGACTTGCCAGCTCCTACAGGCCCCACAATGCCTACTAAAGTACCCGACTGTATCGTCATTGTGATATCGGACAGACAAGTGGCGTCCGCCCATGAGAAGGATGCATTACTCATACAAATTGCTGTTGTTCCCGTCTGTGTTTCAGGTGGCGTCTGCTGCTGTAATTTTGTTAATCGCATAAATGCATCGATACGTTTCGAAGCAGCTAGCATTTCGGCAAAACGTTCGATAGCAACTGGCAAATAATTGGTCACCGGCACTCGTATCATGCCGAAAAAGGTGAGAGCAGTGAAAATGTTGACTGGTTCTAGTTTATGGCCCATGAGCCAGGAGCCACCGAATGTTGCCAAAGAGATGAGTGGCAACGACGAAAAATATAAACCCATGTTGATTGCACGCAGACGACTGGCTCGCAGAATGCTGGCCAATTCATTTTGACGCAAGTCACGCACTCGTTGCTCCATTGGCTTTTCCCAATTGTACATTTTGACAATCTGACATCCATTGACAAGTTCGTTTACTGCCTGCACACGTTTATCTGCACATATCATTGTTGTCTTGCGATATTGACTAAACCATCGACCAAATGCCAGCTGCAAGGGAATAAGAATGACAATTATACCATAACCAAACAATGTGGGTAATATACCAATCGACCACCAGATAAGACCGAATGCAACAAGGGCCTGAAGTGGTGCTTCCCAAAGATAATGCATGTACTGGCAAAACTCTTCGAATTTGCTTGCATCATTGGCGACCAAATTGATTGTTTGCGCAGCGGTTGTTGCCTGTTGTAAGGATGCCGTATTGAGCGATAATAAACGTTTGTAAATAGTTGCCGAGAGCGCAATACGAACACGCATACCCATACGGGTCGTACGAAAATAGGCCTGTTGATGGATGAAAGCTTGTGCAGCCGAACATCCAAATAAGGCAACAGCATACAGATAGCCAACATACGCCATAAATGATGTTGCTGGTGGATGCGGTTGTTGACTGATGTATAGCACGATCTGTCGGAGAAGAAGTGGTTGAGCAACCCGAACCGCTGTGTACGATAATAGCATGAAAATGATGAGCACATTTTGCTTCCAAAAGGCTCGCATAATCAAACGCCATGTTGTTGTATTTGTTGACCATACGTTATTATCACAATAATAGCTAAATTTACGTAACAAGACGGAGCACTTGTCATTTGCGGACAAATCATCGAGATCTTCATCAGTCAGCTCACGCTTATAGCCCAAGGAGAGAATAGGATTGAGCCACGACCAAAATAACACATGCAAAAAACGAAAACACGATGAATGAGCCCAGTCAAAACGACTAGGCTGCCGGTCCATTATTTTTATTCTGTTGGCAACATAAATGTACTCTACTCGTTTGTCGTTCTCTTTCGCCTCATATCATACGTAACTAATTCTCTTACCTTTATCTCTTACTTTGAAGAATGCACCATCATATTGTGATGGCTATTATGGACTTTGAAGGTTTGTGTTCTATCGTGAAGATGAATTGCACGTGTTTCTGAAAAGCTGAAATAATCATTTCTTTTTGTTTTGATTTGTCATGAACACTTTAAATATTCTCACCTGGTAGAGGAGACATCTTACAATTAACAATAATTAAAATTGACAAACAATTAAAAAGAGGCCAGGCTGATATCTGAAGTATTTACTAAGCTATTGTATTTAATACATCAAATGAGCTTTATACATACACAAAACCAAAGAATGAAATTTGCATTTTTTAGAGAACTTGGAACCTCGTCCAGATTCGAATGAGTCTATTACCGAATAAAAATATATTTTAGAATGATAGGCATTTTGTATTCTTAACCGAACACTATAAACACCAGTTGTTCTTTTTGTCAATATTACAATGTCTGTTTCAATACACAAACCGCTGAGTTAAAATAGGAACTAAAGAATTCGAAGTTTTTGTCGCTTCTTCTGGTAATATGTCGGTTATGTCTCTCGCAGAAGGTGTGTTTTTCCTTCTTCTTTGGATTACCGAGAAAAGCTATCAGAAAATCTATGATAAATCATATCTCGGAGTACACATTGACATTGAACATTTTCCAGCTGCATTTGGGAGCTTTTACGACATATTTGTCGATTTAATAGTCATTTTTACATCCAAAATCGTTCAGAAAATTTTTCAGAACACCGTTCACAAAATGTCCAGCAAAAACTTGTCCAACTTGATATCTCGATGATGCATCAAATTTTATATAAATTTACTTTTCCATATTATCTTTCAAATGATGAAAAGATGGAGGTCAATAAGAAGCAAAAACGACCCCCTCACAGATCACCTTCATATGAGCCGATCTGATGTAGTTTTTGTCGGTGATTAGCCCCAACATATTTTTTTCTCTTCACGGCTTGTTCACGTAACGCGCTACTTCGTTGTGGAAGTTTTTTTGTCGAAAATCTGGGAATCCATTTGTACCAGGCTGTAAAGCGGTTCTCGGGAAAATCTAAATGAGCCATTTTGTTTAGAATTCGATGCTGGTTCCAACCATGTATAAATATCATGGAAAAAACCTAGCCGGAAAAATCTACATTCCGAAAGCAGTATTTCGGGTGGATTACAGTGATAACCGCTTTTTTTGTATAACTCCTCCAAAACTAGTCGAAACCGAAAAATTCCAGAAAGGTCTAGAGATATGTTCGA